CACTCACCTCAGCCTCCCAAAGGCGCGGGATTACAGGCTGAGCCACCAAGCCTGGCTATATATTTTAAGATAAAGATTAAAGATTCATAATGACTTTTAAAGAACTACTAAGAGAGCTCAGGCTGCCCGGGAACTGAGACTGGCCTTCAAGGTCAAAGGTACCGCCTGTATAATGAAAATTAAAACCCAAGCGGGTAAGGTGGCTAATACCTGTAATCCCAGCAATTTGGGAGTTGAGAGGCAGAGGTCATGACTGCCTGAGCCCAGGGATTGGAGTCCAGCCTGGGCAACTGGGTGAGACCTCCTCTCTACAATAAACCAAAAAAATTAGTCAGGCATGTTGGTGCCTGCTTATGGTTCCAGCAACTTGGAAGGCTGAAGTGGAAGGATCGCCTGAGGCCAGCAGGTAGAGGCTGCAGTGGCTGTGAGCATGCATGACTCCGCACTCCAGTCTGGGCGACAAGAGTGAGATTCCAAATCAAAAAACAACAAAAATCCAAAAACCCCACCATACTTTACTCAGTAAATACTAAACTCAACAACTAGCAAACAGACTTAGATTTAACCCTAATGGGATTCTCTGAAAGCTTTGAGTTCCAGACACCATTTGAAACCTAGTATTAGAGAATTCTGTCAGAGGTGGCAATCACAAATGGCTTTTCCACAAATGAAACACTACGAGTTGAGTTCTAAGCCTACCAATTTTTTTTTGAGTTGGAGCCACCCAGGATAGGGTGCAGGGGCAGGATCACAGCTCACTGCAGCCACAATCTTGTGGGCTGAGACAATCTTTCCATCTCAGCCTCCTGAATAGCTGGGACTACAAGCACGTGTCACCACACATGGCCAATTTTTTTATGGTTTCTTTTTTTTTGGGTAAAGATGAGGTCTCACTATGTTGCCTAGGCCTGAACTCCTGAGTTTTTTTTTTTTTTTTGAGTTGGAGTCTCACTCTATCGCCCAGACTGGAGTGCAGTGGCTGCTCCCGAACACCGCAGCTTCGACCTGCTGGGTTCCGGCGATCCTTCCATTCAGCCTTCCGAGTAGCTGGAACTACAGGCGCGTGCTACCACGCCTGCCTCATTTTTTTTATTTATTGTAGAGATGAGGTCTCGCCAAGTTGCCCAGGCGGGTCTCGAACCCGCGGGTTTAGGCAATCCACTCACCTCAGCCTCCCAAGGCATGGGATTACAGGCTGAGCCACCGAGCCTGGCTGAACTCCTGAGTTTAAGTAGTCCTCCTGCCTTGGCCTCCCAAAGTGCTGGGATTACAGGCATGAGGCACCACACCTGGATCTCACCACCAATTTCATGTGAAATCTTCCAGCCATGTACTGAAGAAAATTACATACAATATATGCAAGGTATCGAGTCTAGCATTAAAATTACACCAAGGCTTTTTTCATCTTTCTCCCCTCATGTAGTGTTTACTCCCCTACATAGATCTCACTATTCATTCCTTTTTTTTTTTTTTTTTTTTTTTTGAGTTAGAGTCTCACTCTTGTCGCCCAGGCTGGAATACAGTGGCACGTTCACGGCCACCAAAGCCTTGACCTGCTACGCTCAGGCGATCCTTCCACCTCAGCCTCCCAAGTAGCTGGAACTACAGGCATGCGCTACCACACCCGGCTAATTTTTTTATTTATTGTAGAGACAAGGTCTTGCCAAGTTGCCCAGGTTGGTCTCCAACCCTTGGGCTCAGGCAATCTTCTTGCCTCCACCTCCCGAAATGCTGGGATCTCAGGCGTGAGCCACATGCCTGGCCAAAAGCACAGATGCTGGATCTATCCTGTCTGGGTTCAAAAATCTCAGCTCCATGACTTCCTAGCTGGATGAGAACCCATTTTCCACCCATGCCTCGGATCCTCCGTCTGTAAAAACAAGCATGACAACAGCAGCTATCCTTAAGGCTCATTCTCTGAATTGAATTAGTTAATATATGAAAGTCTCAGAAAGTGCTGCAGCCATCACGCTTACCAGAGGTGCTCTGGGATCTGTAACCCAGAGAAGGGCTGAGATTGGCTCAGACCGAAATAGTTCAAGAAAAAGAGGCTGGAAACCGGTTTCTGTGTGACGTTCTGTGAGAAAAGATTACCCGTGAAAGAGCAGCTTGCAGAGCCAACGTCAATTACCTCGGTCGCTCTCAGGCTCCTGCATTTGGCCGCTGTCCGGCGTCCTCCCGGGGTTGCCCAAGGCGGGCTTGGGGGCGCACCCGCCGACGGACGCGGAGTGAGCTACCTGCGGAAAAGGGCCAGGTAAATGGGCAGGCGCAGGCTGGCGGGGGTGGTAAGGCACACCAGGTGGGCAGACGCGAGAGGACAGCTGCTGCATGGCGATCATCTCTGGGCTGTCCATCATGGAGTCCCCTCCCTGCACCCCCCGCAGAGCCTGGGAGGGTGCTGCAAACAGAGAGCTGGGTGCTGGCGCTGGAGGCGGCTGCAACCGGTGCCCGGCAGACTTACAGGGCGGCCGCATATACCCTGAGGAAGGGACCCCATGAGGTAGAAAGCTCGACTGTTCAGTCCACTGGTTGGAGGGCACCGGCGGTCTCATCACTCGGGAGTCCATCATGTGGCCGAGAGTACGAGGCTGGTGAGAGGGTCCTGGCCCCAGGTGGGGCTTCTCATCTGGGCCCAGGGGTCCCGGGTGGGTGGCACCGTGGTTCCCATTCCAGACGGCAGAGTGTACGCGGTTCAGGTACTTGTATGAACGATACATGTGGCTAGGAGGAATCTCTGAGCTCTCGGGGAAGTCTGGTGGCCGGGCTGCAGCCCCAGCAGGCCTGGGAGGAATAAATCCTGGCTGGAACTGCGCCGGAGGGTACATGCTTCCATCCTGAGTGGAGCCACTCATCTGTCCGAGCTGCAGGGACCCCGGATGGGGCCCCATGTTGGAAAGGTGCGTCAGGCCCCCGCACACTGGGTTCTCTTCAGGTGCACCTAGCCTGGGTCCCCGGTGGCTGTTCATTCCAACTGGAGGCTGGTGACACGAGAGAACAAGACAGACAGCAGAGTGAGCCGGACTCAGAGAAGAAGGCAGACCCTGCAACGTGTTTAATCTATGGAGACAGACTCCTGGGGGTGCGGAGCCCACGGATTCAATTGAGCCCACACTGCTGCAACTTACCTGTGGGCCCTGAGCACCTGTACTTTCTGAGTGGGCTGCTTACCTGCACGGGGAAGGGCTGGTGCTGCTGGACGGGCTCTCCAGGATGGGGCTCTGGGACACCAGAGGAGCCGTACAAGTGGGCGGGATCTGATCCTCGCAGAGGGCCAAATGTCCCTGGCACTGCAGGCCTCTGGCGGGCGTTGAGCAGAGCAAGCAGGGGGAAGAGAAAAGGCAAAGACATGAGCTGGTAGAATCTTCCCGAAGATGATTACTGTGAGAATAACACAGATGCCAGGCCTGGCAGACGGCACCCAGGGAGGGACGACCCTGGCACGCAGGCTCCTGGGGTTGGGATGAGCCCCTGGCCTGAAGCGACTGCCCCCTCTATGCAAGGCAAGATTGAAGGGATGGCTCTCTTTTGCGCTGACTGGCCTCGGGAGGCTTTTTTGCCATTCGCCCTGCAGCTGGCCACGACCATGACAGTTTCATATGCGATTTACTGGATGTTTATGGACCTTTGTGCTTTATCCACAGAATGAGTGAGGTGGTTTTGAATCCCAATTTTTGCCCACACTGAGAATACATGATTCCAACAACCGAGAACAGGAAAGACCTAAGGTAAAAGAAGGGCCGGGCAAGTAAGTACTTTGGGAGGCCCGGGTGAGAGAACTGCCTCAGCTCAGGGGTTCGAGACCAGCCTGGACAACTTGGCAAGCTCTAGTCTCTATAATAAATCAAACAATTAGCTGGGCAGGGTGGCGCACACCTGTAGCTCCAGCTACTTGGAAGGCTGAGGCTGAAGGATCACCGGAGCCCAGCAGGTTGAGGCTGAGGTGGCCTTGAGTGTGTCACTCCACTCTAGCCTAGGTGACAGTGAGACTCCAATTCAAAAAAAAAAAAAAAAAAAAAAAACACAGTGGCTCATGTCTATAATCCCAACACTTTGGGAGGCTGAGGTGAGAGGATTGCCTGAGTCCACAGGTTCGAGACCAGCCTGGGCAACTTGGTGAGACCTCATCACTACAATAAATCAAAAAATTAGCTGGGCATGATGGCGTATGCTTGTAGTCCCAGCTAATTGGAAGGCTGAGGCAGAAGGATCACCTGAGCCCAGGAGGTCGAGGCTGCAGTGGCCCTGAGTGTGCCACTGCACTCCAGCCTTGGTGACAGAGTGAGACTCTGACTCTAAATAAATAAATAAATAAAACAAAACAAAATAAAATAAAGGAAGGACTAAGAGGCTGGGGGGTGGGAGAAACCATCCATGTACAGAAATGTTACTTTGCAGCCAGTGGCAATGGAATAGCCTTCCCATCCCTAAGCGTTCACGCTGCTGGGAAAAACCACACGGGACTCAGGCTCTTCCTTACCATCTGGTTTAAAAAGGGTGCCTGGCTGGGCATCCCACCGCAGTGCAGGGGGCGAGAAAAGCCTCGGCCGTTGGAAGTGCCCACCTCCCGAGGGGGCTGTGTGGAGCTGCTGCCCGGGTCGTCCCCGGAAGAGGTGGCTCGGCGCGCAGGGGGCAACGACTTTCCTCCGTTCTCCACGGGCGGCTGTTTCCTGCTGGGCCCTTCTGGGTCCCGGGATCGGGTCCACACATGGCTCCCACCGCTGCGCCCAGCCCGACTCCGTCTCTTCTCCCGTTTTTCATCCTCTCGGATCCAAAACTCTTCATCTGTGTCGCCATCCTCGCCAGGAAAATGTTTTGTCATCGCCCGATGGAAACACCGCTCTAAATTCTCAGACATCTTGGTATACTCTACAGGAAGACACAAGGATTGACCCCCAGGGATCGTTTTTAGAGGCCACAAAAGACAATTCTCTTACTATAAATAAGAATGATGCCACTGGGTAAATGGTGAATCTCTTTTACCTTCAGGGCACATTATATGGGAAAGCTACAGGCACAAGCAGCTCAAGGCTGTGGGGCTGGGACAGCGAATCTAGTAGGATAACCGTAAAATGGCAAAACTCTTAACTGCTTAAGGCTAAATTGCAGAAATACCAAAAATGATAGCTGAATCACCTTAGTTTTTGAAACAAGGCATTTAAAGTTAATGTGCAAATGGTCCCAAGTTTAAGTACATGGAGCCTTGTGTATTTTTTGGTTTTTGCTTTTTTTGAGTCGGAGTGTCACTCTGTCACCCAGGCTGGAGTGCAGTGGGATGCTCACAGCCAGCACAGCCTCGGCCTGCTGGGCTTCGGCAATCCTTCCGCCGCAGCCTTCCAAGTAGCTGGAACTACAGGCGCGTGCTAATTTTTTGATTTATTGTAGAGACAAGGTCTCGTCAAGTTATCCAGGCTGGTCTCGAACCCCTGAGCTCAGGTCATCTCTTGCCTCAGCCTCCCAAAGTGCTGGGATGACAGGCGTGGGCCACTGTGCCCAGCCTGCACACTTCAATATTACAGATCAATTATGCCGACTTATCCAAATGCCATCAGCAGCAGCCGTGTCCGGGGTCAGAGGCACCGTGTGATTCACACCGAGGCGGGCCTCCAGCCTGAGAAACCACCTGAGCTCGGCCGCCAGCTACACGCTCTTGTCCAACAGGGCAGAAGAGAGCTCCCACACATGTTGTGTAAGTGGCTGGAATGGCCAATCCCACGCTCTCCCCAGTTTTTGAGTCAGGGTCACCCTCTGCAGCCCGTGACCCAGGCTCACCACAGCCTCGGCCTCCAGGGCTGAAGTGGGTGGGGAGAAGAGGAGAGAGCCAGGCAGCCTCCCAAGTAGCAAGACGACAGAGGCATGCCACCATGCCCAGCTCATTTCTGTGTAGAGATGAGGTCTCGCTACATTGCCCAGGCTGGCCCCAAACTCTGGGGCACAAGGGATCCTCCTGCCTGGGCCTCCCAAAGTGCTGGAATGACAGGCGTGAGCTACTCAGTCCCCGGCCTCCCACCGCTTTTGATGCACGTTCTCTTCACAGCCCTGAGAAGTCTGAATCAGTGGGACGTGTCGTTCTCAGAAGGAGAGTCACAACGCCACGCCACATATGCGTCTCGTGCAAACCCCATTCCCACTCACCACTGCTCTCCCCGTTGTATTTCCGACAATTTCTGAACATGGTCTTCATGTCATTTACAAATTCTTCCTTGGTACAGTATAAACCGCCATTCAGCTTCTTCTCCATGCTTGAAATATCCATGGGGACCTAAACGGGACAATTCTTTAAAACATGCTGGAGGAAAAAAAAAATCTCAAAGTCCCCATGAGGCAAAGGAACCATGACACTCTATTACTTAAGATCCTGGGGGGGGGTGGTGTGTGTGTGTGTGTGTGTGTGTGTGTGTGTGTCGATATATTCAGCAATGCTGATCCACAACAGATAAAACACGAGACAAACAATAAAACCTAAGAGGTACATAGAACATGCGTGTCTAAGTACAAAGACAGCCTCTACCTTGATAATCTGGTAGTAGTTAGGGGCGTAAGATTCATCCACAGGTTCCAGAAAGGGCCAGGAGTCTTTGTGAGCCTTTACCACATCTAGAACTGAGAGCCAGAGAAGAGATCTTAGTGGACACATCCACACAGGACACTTCTACCAGAAACGTAACAGCTGATAACCAAAACGAACCTTTATACATGGCGGTGAAGTCATCATCCAACTCAAAGCTGTAAAGCAAAAAATAAGAAATTAATAGTGACTCTGACTATCTCCTCTCCTTAGCTCTCAGGTTGATCACAGACTTGGAGCTGACCGAACTAGGGTTTGGAAAAGTCCTAATGCTTTTCTTGAGATAAGCCTGTAAAAAGAGGATAAGGGACAGTATACCTTGGCAAGAAAGGGAGTATATAAAGTCCATAAACTAATGAGGCTGGCCGGGATGATCACTACTTCAGGACTCCGTAATGGTAGTTAATTACTTACGAACACATTCTTAAGCAGGCTTAATTTTACTCTAATTAATACTTTTGTGACCTAAGAAATAATAATCCAAAAAAGTATACAATGGAATGAGCTCAAAAACACTGAATATTTATTTATTTGCTTCTTGAATTTTTTATTTTTTTTGAGTTGGAGTCTCACTGTGTCGCCAAGACTGGAGTACAATGGCACGCTCTAAGCCACCCCAGTGTCAACCTGCTGGGCTCTGGCGAACCCTCTGCCTCAGCCTTCCAAGCAGCCGGAACTACAGGCACGCACTACCACGCCTGGCTAATTTTTTATTTACTGTAGAGATGAAGCCTGGCCAAGTTGCCCAGGTGGGTCTCAAATCCGCGGGCTCAGGCAATCCGCTCACCTCGGTCTCCCAAAGTGCTGGGATTACAGGGTGTGCCACCGAGCCTGGCCTTTTTTGTTTTTCTTTTTTTGAGTTGGAGTCTCACTCTGTCACCCAGGCTGAAGTGCAGTGGCACGCATGCTCATGGCCACTGTAGTCTCGACCTGCTGGGCTCAGGTGTTCCTACAGGCACGCGCTACCATGCCCGGCTCATTTTTTTTTTTTTTTTATTGTAGAGATGAGGTCTCGCCAAGTTGCCTGGGCTGGTCTCGAACCCGTGGGCTCAGACGATCCACTCACCTCACCCTCCCAAAGTGCTTGGGATTACAGGCTGAGCCACTGAGCCCCATCGGGAAAAGAGCTTTAAAGTATCCCTTATGCTCCTACAGAATGTGGCAGCCAAGACTGTCAGAGGGCAGGAGACCCACTCCGAAATGTACAGAAATGAGCACCAGCGTCAGCTGTGAGTGCAAGGTCCACCCGTCACGCACTGTCTGCTCGGCTTTCAAAAGGTGATACGATCCCCTCCCACCTAGGCCGTGACAAAGATCACAGCAGACAAGCACTTGTGCGCTTCGTCAGTGTCAGCAGTTGTGACTATTGTGACCATCGCTAAATACTCACAGGTCCTTGGTCTTTTTCTCTTCTCGTACGGGGGAACTGGGATCCAGATGGGAAAGTTCTGGAGGGAGCTCTTTCCCTTGAGCCAGGAGCCATGCCCTTTCTTCCCTGAGCTTTCTCCGCTTAGCTCGATCTGCAAGAAACACGTGATGACGGTACAAGTGAGTGAGGTGCGCTCGGGACAATCAGATGCGCATCAGTGAGACGGAAAGGGCAAAGGTCACCACAGCAGCATCACAAAGTTACTTCGGCCCTCACGGCCCCCTGCTTTTGGGTAATTTGGATGCTTCTGCAGATGCAATGCTGTGGGAAAATAGAGACCCCTGGGACCCGTTTCTTTCCTTATATCGAGCTCAGTTTGGAGGCCAAAAGCGGCAGGGGAGGTAGAGGGTGCAGAACAGAGGGGCGAGTAGGACAGAGGAACGCAGGAGAACAAGAAGGAAGAAGCACCAGGCTGAATACGGATGATCCCCCGCTGACCTAGGCCTTCCTATCTTGCTCTCAGAAACGTGCGTCCCCTTTTCACGCTTGCTGTCCACACCAGGAGCGCAGGCACAGGACCTGAGCCCCAGAGGCTGTGCATTTGCAAAGCATCCCCGCGCACGACTGTCTGCTCCCCTCCCTGCCCCCACAGCGGGCGGAGGCCCCCACCAGTGGGAGTGGTGGGTTTGGCAAGGAGCAAGGGAAAGTGCCAGCTGGAGCTGGCAAGGGGCTGCAAAGCCGGAGGATTTTTCCTGGCTCAGGGCCAAGGCCATGAGACGCACACTTGGCATTCCGCTCCCAGCCTGACGGGGCATTGCCACTAGCAGGGAAGCCGGAGGGCCGGAGCCAAGGAGACCGACAACGACAAGACCGGCAGACAGCAAGGCGCGGGAGCCCGCGGAGGAGCCAGACAGAGCCTCAGTGTCCTTCTCCAGGTCTAGTTTCTTTTCCCCACGGGGCAGGCTCCCTGCCTGCCTGCTATGAGCAGCCTCTAACCCTGTCGAGTGCCACGTGACTTGGGGTTTTGTCCCCCAATTACTTTTATGACAATCTGAGAGCAATTTCCATCAGCTTTAATTCATCAGAGGCATTTTGCTGTCACTGACTTTGAGTGTCGTTGTTCTCTGGAAACAGAAAAGAACGATTTCAAATTTAAAGTATAATCTAATGGATACCCACATAGCCACCAAAGTGTCAAACATTACTTAGTTTTGTTAACAATGACCCAGTGTTTCATTTTATGCGTATGACAGCAGCTTAATAATCCATTATCAAGTTGATTCCAAATTTAGCATTTTGTAAATAATATTATCACAATACCAAGACGTTGTTTTTAAAACGTGTCCTCTTCAGCCTGTGTGTAGTTCTCCTCTCTAGTAGAAACTTTAGCAGCCGTCATCAAAGTCCGGTCCAAGGGGTTATGTCTATTCTTTAAACAGCATCTGCATTGACTTACACTCACTTAGTATGATAGAACTTTTGCATTTTGCCAAATTGATGGGTATGACGAATTTGTTATGTTTTCCCATGTATTTTCCTGAGCGGAGACTATATACACTTGCATGTTTCCTGGGCATTCAGTGCTCTCTTCTGTGAACTGCTGTTTATTTACCTGTCTTTTATTTTTTATTCCTATAGATTGTTAAGTCTTTGTTGATATCTGTTAACATTATCTTCTTCAGCTCTGTGGTTTTTTCTTTTCACTTTGTTTACAGTGCTTTTGTCATATGTTAAGTTTTAAAAAAATTAATGTAGTCAAATCTATCAACTTCCCCTTACATTTTTGTGTTTTTTGTACTTATCTATACCTTTAGTGTATCTGAAACTTGCTCTTAAATAAACAAACATACTGGTACCACTTTGTTTCACCCTTAAGAAATGAGTACTTGCTACACTGCAAAGTCTAAAGTGCAGTGGCTGTTCACAAGCGCCATCACAGTCCATGACATCTTCAAAATCCCAGGGTCAAGAGATCCTCCCACCTCGGTCTCTCAAGTAGCTAGGTCTACCGACAAGTGCCATCACACCCAGCCCACTTTTTGAAGAATCCACATTCTCTCCCAGGGTCTGTTTCTATGCCAATACCATTCTCCCTCAATCACCTGAGATCTTGTTCTTTGGGGTAATGAATGTCACTATCACATCGTTTTTGGAAGTTCTTGGCTATCCATGGCCCTTTGCTCTTTGGGATGGACTTTAGGAATAGCCTGTCAAGATTCATAGATTAATAATAGCAAATATTAAATAAGGGGTCACATTTTCCCACTTGTCCCATTTAAAAAAATAAGTCAGTTTGTTAAAAAAAAAATTCAAAAAGGTTCACTGCGTTTGGTTGCTGTGCCTCTCAGGTCCTGAATTTTTAACAAGTGTCCCCTCTAGTCTTTTCACTGGAAAAACTGGGTTACTCTGTCCGTGCAGGATTTCTCACATCCCAAATGTGGCTGAGATCATCAACCCTGCAGTGTTAATGAGCTCCCCAGCCCTTTCCTGTAAACTGGCAGTTTTATCTCGGGGCTTTGAGGAAACAAATTTACATTTTTGGGCAATAATATTTCAGACTCTTACTCAATGCCTTTAGCAACTACTGACGGTTAATCAGAGTTCCAAGACAGAATCCAGGCGTAGAGAGTACCTGAGAGACTAGTTCTCACTCCTTCTAAACAAAGTGTGTACCTCGCACCTCTACAGAGGCAGAGACTTCGCCACACAGGATGGATGCTTAAGGCAGGGCTTAGCAAGCAGCAGAGTGGCAAGCTGCTTTTGCAAATAAGGTCTTATTCAAACAAAACCCTGGATGACCGTGAAGCCAGAAACATTTACTGTGTGGCCCTTTATGGAAAAAGTCAGCTATCCTGGTATGGTGGTGCACGCCTGTGGTTTTAGTGACCCAGGAAGCTGAAGAGGGAGGATCGTTTGAGCCCAGGAATTCAAGGCTGCGGTGAACCATGATTGTGCCACTGGACTCCATCCAGCCTAGGAGACAGAGTCAGACCCCAGCTTAAAAAAACCCAACAGCCAAAACCAAAGCCAAAACCCAAAACCAAACAACAATAAAACACAATCCAAGTCAGCTAAGTCAGCTGACCTTGACTTTATTTATTTATTTTTGGGGGGTTTTTTTGAGTTGGAATCTCACTCAGTCACCCAGACTGGAGTGCAGTGGCCACTCCCAGCAACCGCAACCTCAACCTGCTGGGCTCCGGCGATCCTTCCGCCTCAGCCTTCCAAGTAGCTGGAATTACAGGTGCGCGCTACCACGCCCGGCTAATTTTTGATTTATTATAGAGTTGAGGTCTCGCCAAGTTGCCCAGGCGGGTCTCGAACCCGCGGGCTCAGGCAATCCACTCACCTCAGCCTCCCAAAGCGCGGGATTATGGGCTGAGCCACTGATCCCGGCTTATTTACTTATTTAGAGTCAGGGTCTCACACTGTTGCCCAGACTGGAGTGCAGGGGCATGCTCATGGCCACCACATCTTCAATTTGCTGGGCACAGGTGATCCTTCCACCTCAGCCTTCCAAGTAGCTGAAACTACAGGCATGTACACCATGCCTGGCTAATTTTTCTTGACTTATTGCAGAGACAGTCCTCACCAAGTTTTTCAGGCTGGTCTCAAATCCCTGGGCTCAGGCAATCATCTTTCCTCGGCCTCCCAGAGATTACAGGCTTGAGCCACTGTGCCCGACCTGACCTCAGCTTTTGACCACTAGGGTGTAATCATTTCCTGAGGCACTGGGCTGAGAAAAGCTTTGCCTAGATCCAGCTTTTCATTACTTGTTATTCTACTACTGCGGCTGCATGTATGGACCAGTCTTCTTTTCCTCGCAGTCATTAGCATATCTGAAATATGGCATGTGCCGGGCTCGGTGGCTCAGCCTGTCATCCCGCGCCTTTGGGAGGCTGAGGTGAGTGGATTGCCTGAGCCCGCGGGTTCGAGACCAGCCTGGGCGGCGAGACCTCATCTCTACAATAAATCAAAATATCAGCCAGGCATGGTAGCACATGCCTGTAATTCCGGCTACTCGGAAGGCTGAGGCGAAAGGATCGCCAGAGTCCAGCAGGTCGAGGCTGCGGTGGCTGGGAGCGGCCACCGCACTCCAGTCTGGGTGACCGAGTGAAACTCCAACTCCAAAAAAAAAAAAAAAAGAAATATGGCATGTAAAGAAAAGGAAAAACACTTATCTCTGCTTCTATCTTACCAGTTCTCAGAATAACAAGCTGTTTTATCAATGACCCAAGGTGATAAGACAATTTATTTAAAAGTATCATTATGAATTCATGCAGTTAACATATTTGATATTTTTATATCAACAGAGGACTCTGCTTGTTCTGTATTCTTCTTTTTTTCTTTTTTGAGTTGGAGTCTCACTTTGTTGCGCAAACTGGAGGGTAGTGGCACACTCATGGCCTCCCCAGCATCAACCCGCGAGGCTCTGGCGATCCTTTCACCTCAGCCTTCCACGTGGCTGGAACTACATGCATGCATCACCACACCTGACTAATTTTTATTGATTTATTGTAGAGATTATTATAGAGGTCTCACCAAGTTGCCCCAGCTGGTCTCGAATCCATGGGCTCAGGCAATCCTCTCCCCGAGGCCTCCCAAAGTGCTGGGACTATAGGTGTGAGCCTCCGCGCCTGTCCTAAATGGGTTGTCTTAAACACCTGGGGGCCACATGGCCTATAATTCAGCTCCATGAATCCACATGCAATCTGTATCCAGTTCACATCTCTTCTTGCTTTCTATAAAAAATTTACACTTTCTATAAAAGATTTAGTCTTTTTATAAAATTCAAAAAAAAGTTCTCTCAGAGAAATGTGGGTTGTAAAGAAAATAAAAAGACAAAAACGCAATTTTTAAATTATTTTTTTAAATTTTTAAATAAAAAAAATTTAAAATCTCAGAAGAAACAGAAAAACACACTGAAACATGATAAATGAATGTTTTCTCAGCCTCACTATATTGGTCCTTTCTTCCTAGAAAGTGAACACATGCTGAACCTTTCGTGCCACTCAGCACCTAAATCAGTTATTCAGCTCCTTCAGTCAGGTCCAAATCCAATCTTCACGCCGGCTTGGGGAACCTGGGACTGGGATCCTGCAGACAGGATTTCTCCGTTCTCTGCTGGCTTTATCTTCTGCCAAAAGGGAGGCTGAGTGGGGTCACGGAGGCAAGGTGAGGGGAGACGCGGCGGCCTCCCATTCACTCGGGGTGGCTGCTGGCCTCTGCCCCCGCGGGTCCTGCATGTGCGATGCTGCCGCCAGTTCTGGTCACCCGGTTCTGATCACCCAGTTTGTTCGGCAGCCCAGGGCTAGCAGCCACACCATCAGGTGGCTGGGCTCAGCTCTGCAGAGGCCCCTTCAGGAAAGCTTGGCAATGAGCCCCCATGCCTGGCTGAGGGCGTGCCACCTCCCTGTCACATGGGAATCCCTCTGAACCTTTTTATTTTCTCATTTCCCTGTAACGAAGTTCTCTCTGCAGAAACATCTAGTGTGGTTTTGATTTTCCTGATTAGACCCTGATGGATTGACTACCACAAGTTACTTCTTCCATCACAGATGTCTCCTGTCTCAGTTCTGCACTCTACAACTTCCCAGATACGCCTTCCAGTTAACTGAGTGTGCAATTCCGCAGCATCAAGTGCATAAGCCGTTATGAAACCACCACTGCCCATTTCCAGAACTTTCTCATTACTCTAAACAGAAACTCTGTACCCACTAGACACTAACTCTCCATTTCTCCCTCCCCTCAGCCTCTACAGTCAAATGTTTGAGTGTGTTCATTTCAATTAGCATGTTGCCTACAAGATTCATCTAGGCTGTATCATGTTTCAGGTGTTCATTCCTTTTTATGACTGAATAATGTTGCACTGTAAGTATATGCCACATTTTGCTTATCCATGCGTCCATTGATGGACACTTGGGTCATTTTCGTCTCTTGGCTTCTGTCTTTTCCTTCTTTCTTTCTTTTTGAGTCTGAGTCTCACTCTGTTGCCCAGGCTTGAGTGTAGTGGCTCGCTCACGGCCACTGCAGCCTCGACCTACTGGGCTCATGCAATCCTTCTGCCTCAGTCTTCCAAGTAGCTGGAACTATAGATGCATGCCATCACACCAGACTTCTTTTTTCTTTTTTTGAGTCGGAGTCTCACTCTGTTGTCCAGGCTGGAGTGCAACGGCACACTCACTGCCACTGCAGCCTCGACCTGCTGGGCTCAGGCAATCCTTCCCACCTCAGCCTTCCAAGTAACTGGAACTATAGACACACGCCAGGCTAATTTTCGATTTATTGTAGAGATGGGGTTTCGCCAAGTTGCCCAGGCTGGTCTCGAACCCGTGGGCTCAGGCAATCCTCTCACCTAGGCCTCCCAAAGTGTTGGGATTATAGGTATGAGCCACTGAACCCTGCATGCTTTTCTCTTTCCTGTTTTCCTGTTCCTTAAAATAAATAAAAGCTATGAGTCCTCTTCTGCTAAGGATGTGGTCATGTCACATCACAGTTGTTTTACAAATAAATTTAGGAAACTCCAGACTAGTGACTGCCAGCACTGTTAGGACACAGCATACAACAGAGTGAAGCCAACTGACACAGCCTCTGCTCTTATATATAGGTAAATTTTTTTTCTTTTAATTTCAATTTTTAAAATAAGAGAAAGGGTCAGTTCAAGATCCGCCTGGGCATCATAGCGAGACCCTGTGTCTATTGTAAAATTAAAAGAACAAAACAAAACAAGAAAACATCTAAGGATGGTTGTAATCCGTTGCCCTGTAGCACTACAAACAGAAGAAACACCTCGTTACCTCAAGACCAAGAACTGAGACTACCTTGTCTGAATAACATCAACGAGAATATTCTAGAGTTGAATGGTGCCATATCTTAAAAAAAATCTGAGAGTTTTCTTAAACACGTATCATTTGTGTTCAAAATTATATATTTGAAATCAGTTCTCATCAGTATCTCAATTTTCTTTCTTCTATTCCACACACAGGACATAGCAGGGATCACATTAAGTAAGATACTGAAAGGCACACCCCAGATGGCAAATACAAGTGCTTTAGAAGGACCATAAAAGCAGTGAGACAGGATGCAAGTGAATGAATGAGACACAGCCAACGCACGGGATATGGAACAGACACTGCCAGAAGCAGCTTAACACGGCAGGACTAGCTTGCCCCGTCTTTGGCTGCAGGAGGGCTGGTCCCCACAAGACGCATCTCACCAGGCTGCACAGGAAGCCACGTACCTTCCACGGCCTTGACCTTCTCCTCCAACTCCCGCTTCCGCTCTTCCTTCAGCATCTGCTCGTGCTCCTTCTTCTGCACGGCCAGGAGAATCTGGCGCTCTTCCTCCTCCTCTTTGCGCTTCTGTTTCTCTATTCGAGTCAGCACAGGCGTCTCCTGCGGGAGCCGAGGACGGCATCACATCAGAACCAACATGCATGACCCCTGCTTTGCTCTCAGGTTAGAGGCACCATATCAATTTCGATGTAGGCAACAAATAACATCAGACGCCTACAATTACCTAGGAGATTCGTAACCCGTCTCATTGATTTTGTTATCTGTAGAATACATACATGAATAGCAGCATTAAAACAAGGGAAAGGCCAGGCGCGGTGGCTCAAGCCTGTAATCCCAGCACTTTGGGAGGGGGAGGCGAGAGGACTGCCTGAGCTCAGGGGTTTGAGACCAACCTGGGCAATCAGCCTTTGTTTTTATGTCAGTTGTTGGACGCAAACCTTATACCCTGTTTTAAACCATCCTTGTTTTGTTTTTTGGTTTTTTGTTTTTTTTTTAGTTGGAATCTCACTCTATAGTCCAGGCTGGAGTGCAGTGGCATGCTCACGGCCATCACAGCCTTGACCTGCTGGGCTCAGACGATCCTTCAGCTCAGCCTTCCTACTTTTGAAAAATATGTACATATGTACGTACATATACATGTTTCAGAGACAAGAGTCTCACTTTGTTCCCCAGGCTAGTCTCGAATTTCTGGCCTCAGGTGATCCTTTCACCTTAGTCTCTCCCAAAGCGCTACGATTACACCTATTATTATTATTATTATTTTTTGAGTTGGAGTCTCACTCTGTCGCCCAGACTGGAGTGCAGTGGCCGCTCCCAGCCACCGCAGCCTCGACCTGCTGGGCTCCGGCGATCCTTCCGCCTCAGCTTTCCGAGTAGCCGGAATTACAGGCGCGTGCTACCACGCCCAGTTGATTTTTTGATTTATTGTAGAGATGAGGTCTCGCTGCCCAGACGGGTCTTGAACCCACGGGCTCAGGCAATCCACTCACCTCAGTCTCCCAAAGGCGTGGGATTACAGGCTGAGCCACCGAGCCCGGGCTGCACCTATTATTCTTAAAATATAAAGCTATCCTATAAGTCAATGAATAGTGTCCCCACAGATGGAACCTGACAACCAAATTCACAAAAGATCGATGAAGCACACAGATTGCAGAATACTCAGCAGTAGTATCACCTCCAATTTCCCATCCAAGTGAAAGTTCACCCTGCTTAGCTTCCAGGTTGCCAGCAGAACCTGAGCCTGTGGGCTGTTACTGGTCTGCTCATCTCTATAAAGGCATAGAGGAAAAGCGGGAAGCAAACTTCTAAAAATGTCAATGGTAATGATTGCTGGAAGGTGGGATTCCCACGTATTCTACAGTTTTCTACATGTAGTCTCCAGCTTTTCTTGTGTTGGACTCTTACTCTGTCACCCAGGCTGGAGTGCAGGGGTATGCTCACGGCCAACACAGCCTTGACCTGCTGGGCTGAGGCGCTCATTCCGCATCAGCCCTCCAAGTGGCTGGAACTACAGGTGTGCACCACCACCGCCTGTTGTTTGATTTATTGTAGAGAAGAGGTCTGGCCAAGTTGCCCAGGAGGATCTCAAACCCCTAGACTCAGGCAATCCTCTTGCCTCAGCCTCCCAAAGTGCTGGGTTGGGATTACAGGCGTGAGCCACGAAGCGCGGGCGGTCTCCAGGTTTTCTGTAAGGATACGTAATTTTGTGGACTCAGAAAAACTGCTTCCCAAAGAAAATGGAAACTCAACGAGTATCATATGTTCTTAAGCCAACTAATTCTTAGTAACCTTTGAGGCCCTGCACTGTTTGATCCCTGCTAAAACTCTAAAATTAAAATACATTCAAGTAGCTGGGCTCGGCGGCTCAGCTTGTAATCCCAGTGCTTTGGGAGGCTGAGGTGAGTGGATTGCCTGAGCCCGTGGGTTCGAGACCCACCTGGGCAACCTGGCGAGACCTCATCTCTACAATAAATCAAAAAATCAGCCGGGCATGGTAGCGTGCTCCTGTAGTTCCAGCCACTTGGAAGGCTGAGGTGGAAGGATCGCCGGAGCCCAGCAGGTCGAGGCTGCGGTGGCCGGGAGCGTGCCCTGCACTCCAGTCTGGGCGACAGAGTGAGACTCTAACTCACAAAAATAAAAAAAAACCTTCAAGTAACAGAACGTGTGAAGTTTTAAGGTGAAGTATTAAGGGATTATAAGCAGCTAAAGATACTTGATAACAATGAAGGAAAATTTTAAAATGTACATAAAATATAAAAATCAGTGATTGTTCTGTTAAATCAGAGGCTTGGCTCCATACCGTGAAAAAACTACGTACAGATTACCCGCAAAGAGTGGTAGCTTTTCGTACTGAGGTGAAATTCATATAACAACTTTCAAGTGTACAATCCAGGAGCATTTAGTATTTTGACAGATTCATGCAACGACCACCTATATTAAATTTCACAACATTTGAACACTGTAAAACAAAAGTGCACCCATTAAATAACCTTTCCTGGTCCCTGCTGTCCCAGCCGTCTAGGCAACCACCGTTCTGTCTCTGTAGATTTATTTACTCTGGATATTTAACATAAATGGAATCATACAATGTGCGTCTAGTTAGTTATTTTAAAAATACATCAGCATTTATACTAAGCATATATATAGAAATCAAGTCACCTGAATGTATGGCATCTTTGAAAGCCCACATAAAGCTCCCTTAGGGCCGATAAAGGTGAGAGAGCAGGAGGGCCGAGCGGCTCTACTGGGCCTTGTGGCCACTGCCGGTGCCAGCTGGGGCTCCTCCCCTTGGTGCCGTGACCTCGACCCTCTGTTTCCCAGGCCACCTGTTCTCAGGTCCTTTCCCCCGCCTCAGCAGTGCCTGTCACTGGAAGACACCTCCGTTAAGCTGGATACCTCGGTTTCTCACATTTCTCGTGGTCTTTGCTCTTCCTAAGCCACTCCCTATCTGATGTGAATTTCCGACGAAAAACATGCACATCCGAGAAAAAAAAAATCTATTTCATGCACCACGAAATAGTTTTCAGCACCAGGTCACCACAAGGAAAGCCAGTGCTGATGACGACACCAGCAACGAACAGGACTTGCCAGGGAAAGACACACTTTTGGTAGTGTTTAACTATGAAAGGAGGTTTACCTCTCAGTACAACCAAAGGAATAACAACCAAAGGGGGAAAAGAACCTCGACGGCTAAAAAAAAATCATACTGTCTTATGCTGCAAATTCTTTTGTTTAAAAGGGGCGAGTGCAACTAGGGTAGAGGATGATAAATGCTTTATAGAGGTCAGGTGTGGTGGCTCAAGCCTGTCATCCCAGCACTTTGGAAGGCCGAGGCGAGTGGATTTCTTGAGCTCATGGGTTTGAGACCAGCCTGGGGAAGTTGGTGAGACCTCGTCTCTACAATCAATCAAAAGGAAAAAAATAAAAATAAAAATAAAAAGACAAGCCGGGTGTGATAGTGCGTGCCTATAGTTCCAGCTACTTGGAAGGCTGAGGCGGTAGGATCACCTGAGGCTAGCAGGTTAAGGCTGGGGCAGCCATGAGCGCACGTGCCACTGCACTCTAGCCTGGGTGACAAGAGCGAGACTCAACTCAAAAAAAAAATTTAAAAATGCTTTAGGTAAGAGGAGCAAGAATCAAGGGGGAACTTGAACAAGAGGCTAATTAGAAACACCACAGTAACCCACTAAACGACAATCAGACAGAACCTCTGGTTTAGCTAGTGACTGGAGCTCCCTTTACCAACGCCCGTCCCCTGAGGACAGGTATCAGACTCTCTGCACCCTCGCCAATTAGCAGCACAGTCAAGGTTGTGCCACCACCACAAATCCCTGCCTAACAACAGCAATGTCCTGAGTCTCCTGACAAGAAAGACTTTTTGAGGACCTGAGTGACCAATATAAGCTGGAAATGCTGTGCATATGCTTTACAGGCTGGAAGATTCTGCTGTTGAAACAAAAACACAAAACTCATGCCCCCACTGAGGTTTTCTCCAGGATTTCAGCTACCCTAACAGATACTGAAAATTATGGTGGCTTCCTTTTATAATCTCAGTAATTTGGGAGGCTGAGGACGGAGGATTGCTTGAGGCCAGGGGTTTGCGACCAGCTTGGGCACCAAAGGAAGAATCCAGTCTCTCTAAATAAAATAAAATAAATGTCAATAATACCCTGGCTTCTTCTATCTCAAAATAAAATGCAGAATCTTTAAAAAGTTAACTGCCAAGAATAAAAGAAGAAATTTTAGTATTTGATGTAAAACTTTTGCTTGTAGCAAAGAACCTTTCAGGCTATTCAGACCACAAGGCCATGGAAACTGTAAAGTAGGGCATGTAGGAATGCTCAGGGTAGTGAACAGAGAGGAGGAAAGGGCATTCTCGTGGAGATGTTTTATTATTATTTTTGTTTATATATATTTTTTATGAGTCAGAGTCTCTCTCTGTAGCCCAGGCTGGAGTGCAGTAGCACACTGCTCATGGCCACCGCAGCCTTGACCTGCTGGGCTCAGGGGATCCATCTGCCTGCCTTCCAAGTAGCTGGAACGACAGGCACACACCACCATGCCTGGCTAATTTTAAAAAAAATTTATTGTAGAGAGCTGAGGTCTCACCAAGTTGTCCAGGCAGGGCTTGAACCCCTGAGCTCAGGTAATCCTCTCACCTCAGCTTCCCAAAGTGCTAGGATTATAGGCATGAGCCATCACGCCCCGTAGTTTTTTTGTTTTTTTAAAAAATTTATTTATATTTTGGATTTACTGTAGAGATGAGGGCTTGCCAAATTGTTCTGGCTGTCTTCGACCCCACGGGCTCAGGCAATGAGCCACCGGCCCTGGGGAGGTGTTAATGTCAAGGTAAGGAAGACACTGGGGAGAAATCAGCAGGCCAGAGGAGCTCGGCAACTGTTAGAGAATGACAGATTCATGCCAGTTTCCAAAGGTCATTCACAAGCTAGTGCCCAGGATAATAAGAACAGACTGGGGACAGGGCAGCCAGTCACAACTGCCAGCACAGAGGTGATGAGATGCTGGGCAGTGTATCCCCTGAGCTAAGAAAGATGCAAAGGCTAAACCAAAATACTGTGAAGCAAACGCACGTTTTTACACCAGCTTTCTCCTTTCAGGGCTCCAGGCGGAATCTGCTCAGCTCCTGCGGCAATCACTGCATGACAGACACTACCACACTGTCACTTCAATTTAAGAGCCATGAGGCCGGGCTCAGTGGCTCAGCCTGTAAACCCGGCAACTTCGGGAGGCCCAGGAGAGTGGACTGCCTGGGCGTGTGTGTTTAAGATCAGCCCGGGCAACTCGGTGAGACCTCGACTCTACAATAAAACAAAAAATTAGCCATGTGTGATAGTGCTCGCCTGTAGCTGTGGCTACTTGGAAGGCTGAGGCGGAAGGATCGCCTCAGTGCAGCAGGTCGAGGCTGCGGTGGCCGTCAATGTGCCACTGCACTCCAGTCTGGGCGACGGAGTGAGACTCCAACTTGGGGGGAAGGGGGGTGAAGAGTCATAAAAACATTCCTGCAAGGCACAAGAAAGCCCTGATAATGTCACACGGTCTCCCGCAGCCCAACTTTCCATAGCCACTGGTTATTGGGGTGTTTAACTATTCAATCAAACAGAGCACCCAAAGGAGAGAAATGTTTACAAAGTAGAATGGGAAAACTGGCCAGCAATGGACCTGAACTTGAGCACACCCAGTGGGGCCAGAGAACAATGGAGAAAAGCCTTCTGTGGTTACGAAACAACAAAACCAACAGTGAGAACAGCTGGAGTGGGTCTGGGTGTGTGGGCGGGGCGCACCTTCTTGGGATGAGAAAGCTGCCCTTCTGAGCCTGCCCTCTGTTGCTCCTTCCCCATTCCCGACTTCCTCCTATTTCCTCCTCCCAGGATCACACATCGTCAGCAGCGGGCTAGGTTTCTTACAGCTCATTTCACTCCCACCTTGGCAGCGTTTAAATCTCAGTCAAGCCGGGCTTGGTGGCTCAGCCTGTAATCCCACGCCTTTGGGAGGCTGAGGTGAGTGGATTGCCTGAGACCGCGGGTTCGAGACCCGCCTGGGCAACTTGGTGAGACCTCATCTCTACAATAAATCAAAATTAGCCGGGCGTGGTAGCGCGTGCCTGTAGTTCCAGCTACTCGGAAGGCTGAGGCGAAAGGATCGCCGGAGCCTGGCAGGTCGACGCTGCGGTGGCCGGGAGCAGCCACTGCACTCCAATCTGGGTGACAGAGTGAGACTCCAACTCAATAAAAAAAATAAATAATCAATCAATAAATAATCAATATCAGTCAATACAAGTATCAGTCTCTTCCTTCCTTCGATGTGACGCTAGGCAGTCCTTGGACGACTTCCTATCCAACATCACAAAATGACAACGCCCACCATGGGCTCGCAGATGCTCCCGGGAAAGCCCGTTCACACTCCTAATTTGCTGTTGTCCCCAACACCCACGCTTCACCGCACCTTACACCTCACAGCCTATCTGAGGCCCGCTCTGAATGGGATCTAGACATTTTCTGCTCCCCTCAGGAGATCTGTGTCTCTGCTCAACCCCTCTTGCTTTCCTTGTCTTAGGAGAATGTGACAGACTGTGCTGCATGGCGAGGCCTTGACGCGGAGGCGCTTTGTGTTACCAGCGAGCAGCAGAGTCAGGCCTCGCTCCTTCACCGGCCTTTCCAGGTCTCTGTAACCCTTCCCGTTAAAACAAAACAAACTTGCTGCAGGCTTTCCTCCGGCTTCACTCTTTCTTTGCACTGCCACACTTCTCACTCTTTCTTTGCACTGCCACACTTCTCAAAGTATGACAAGTATGATAGCGAACTTCACTTCCTGACCTCTGTACCTACGGTCTCAGATAAAACAACTGTTTGCCCTCAAGTCCCTTTCTCCACTCTAGGCCTTCATTCCCAATGGCACGAGTTCTCCTGCTGCCTTGGACTGGGCGTGGTGGCTGACACCTGCAATCCCAGCACTTTGGGAGGCCGAGGGGAGAGGACTATCTGAGCCAAAGTGTTCGAGACCAGTCTGGGCAACTTGGTGAAACTCATCTCTACAATAAACAAGTAAAAAAAAAAAAAAATTAGCCAGCTACTTGGAAGTCAGATGCAGAAGGATCACCTGAGCCCAGCAGGTGGAAGCTGTGTTGGCTGTGAGTATGCCACTGCACTCTGGGTGACAGAGTGAAACTCCGACTCAAAAAAAAAAAAAAAAAAAAAAAAACCCCCAAAAAAGTATAGCTCAGCCTCGCCGTCCAGTTTTTCCTGACAAAGTCATGGTCATGGGGGAATCGTCCTAAGACAGACCTCATGACAGAACCTCCCTTCCAGCTGTGCTGAAGACACAAGGATGAAAGGCACTCCACCATCATATCACTCCAGCATTTACTTCCACTAGAGAGCACAACATATATACCAGCCACAAACCAACACACAGTGTTTTGATCCACTTACACAATGTCCCGTCTCTGTGCTCGTTTCTCTTACTCCGGTAGTGTGGGATGCCCGCTGCCACATATCTGCCACCCCGGTGGGCCCCCTCAAAATCATAGCCATTCAGGAAGAGTCCTTGCTTGATTAAAAAAAGAAAAAATCCCAGCCATCCCACAGCTCTGTCTGCCCCTACTCCTTTTGCGTCCAGCTTCAAATCTTTCCATCTTTGGACCCATGACCTTTGCTGACACATCTATCCGTCACCTACTCATAACTGACATCTATATCTGATGAAATATGGATGTGCCGCTTACCCCAGGGATTCCAAGACCCAAAGAGTGTGGCCTCCTGTCTTATGAATATTATTTTGGATTAGAAAATATAGTTATGGCCAGGTTTTGTGGCTCAGCCTGTAATCCCAGCACTTTGGGAGGCGGAGATGAGTGGACGGCCTGAGCCCACGGGTCCGAGACCAGCACGGGTGACTTGGCGAGACCTCGTCTCTACAATAAATAAAAAATGAGCCGGGCATGGTAGTGCGCACCTGTAGTTCTGGCATCTTGGAAGGCTGAGGCGGGAGGATCGCCGGGGCCCAGCAGGTCGAGGCTGCAGTGGCTGTGAGCATGCCGCAGCACTCAAGCCTGGGCGACAGAGTGAGACTCCAACTCAAAAAAGAAAAAAAAGAAAATACAGTTTATTTTAAAATAAATTAGAGAGAGAAGATTCACCTCCCCAAGGCGGGGGAGGGGGCCAAAGCCAAGAAGCATAGCAACAGCCATAGCTTAAAGAGTATATGGCTACACCAGAGTCTAGCAAGGTAATAGCTCTATTATTATTTTTTGAGTTGGAGTCCCACTCTGTCGCCCAAGCTGGAGTACAGTGGTACACTCATGGCCACCGCAGCCTAGACCAGCTGGGTTCAGGAGATCCTTTCACCTCAGCCTTCCAAGTAATTGGAACTACAAGCACACGCCACCATGCCCAGGAAATTTTTTTTTTTGAGTCTCACTCTGTCATCCAGGCTGGAGTGCAGTGGGACACCGTAGCCACGACCTGCTGGGCTCAGGCAATCCTTCTTCCTTGGCCTTCCAAGTAGCTGGAACTACAGCTGCATGCTATCATGCCTGGCTAATTTTTTTTTTTTTTAATTGTAGAGATGAAGTCTTACACCAAGTTGTCCAAGCTAGTCTCAAACCCGTTGGCTCAGGCAATCCTCTTACCTTGGCCTCCCAAAGTGCTGGAATTTATGGGCACGAGCCACCACACCCAGCCTCTCATGTCTTATTTTTAGAATTCTTGCTCAATCTAGAAATGCATCTTAAGAACGAACAATAAGGGTCCGAGTTTTAGGAGAAAAACGAAGTAAAGGAAATGAAAGAAGTAAGACACCAGAAGTAAGATACAAAATGAAATGGATCAATCCTTCCGGGACTTCAAACTGGACCTCACTACTCTCACACACACTCACCTCTGGCTTGATGGATTTGACAGGCAGGTGGTCAAACATCCACCTGGGGTGCAACTCTGCCTGTGTGCGCTGTGGACGTTTTCCCTATGGTCAGAAGTGAGGAAAAGAAAGGAGAACGTAGATTAGAGTGTTCCAGCTACTGATGCTGCCGCCGCCAGTAGAACAATGGCCATGAAGGCACACGGATTGAAACGGCTTGACCCAAGACGTTGGACCAAAGGCGTCCTCAGCACAATCAGAGAAAACAAGCATTCTGCCATGCAAGGGGCTGAGACAGTTCATTCTCTTAAAGAGACTTAAACAAAAAGAGACTTTGACAAACAGGTATCTTTTGACAATATTTATCACTGGGGAGAAACTCTCCTGACATTTAAAAAGTGTTTTCCTTTTCCCCAATTATGAAGGGAAAGCCATGTTTTGTCCCTTTCGGCTCAAGGGCATGGCTCTGAAGAGGGCATTCCATTCCGGGCAGCTGGCGGAAGGCCTCGGCATAAAAGGCAGCACAGTGGCAGGAATGAGATGTGAGAGCAGCTGCCCAGGCTGGCAACTCGAGCAAGGCGGGCAGGGTGGGAGAGGGCGGCAGGCATCAAGAGCATGCCCGGAAAGACCAGAGCCCCGAGAGGAGGAGACAGGTTAGAGAGGAATTACTGTAGGACAGCGCACAGGGGATGCCGGGGAGCTCCGTACATCTATTTGGAGGGCCAAGGTTTATGAGCACACGAAAGGTTCGGAATTTTTGAGAAATGGCGCTCCTGGTGTCACCAGTTGAAACCCACCACGAAAAGGTGGTAGCCAAGAGCCCTCATTTAGGAGGATGTAACTCTGTGGCTTCAGAGTCGAAACTCTGCACCCACCAGGTGTGCTGGTTTTGACACCACTTGATCCAAACTTGTGAGACCTTGTGAAGGATCAGTAAGGAATCCAAGGACGGAAAATGACAACAAGGAGCAGACTAAACGTATACACACTGCGAAGTCCCCCAGGTGGTAGACGGAATGAGCCAGCAGCTTTAGAAAACTTCTTTGCCTCCAACAAAGAGGACGACTAGTTCGCACTGCCAATGCCACCAACATCAACAAAGGATGTCATGACCTTGATGGACTCATTCCCAAAAGTTACCCTAGCAGTTTCCTAAAATATGCCTATAGGTATGTAATTCTTTTACAAGCACTAAGACCAAAATAAGATTACTTCCACTTTATTTTATGTTACTTTATTCTTGGAGACAGGATTTTAACTCTGTCGCCCAGGTTGGAGTGCAGTGGCATGATCACAGCTCACTGCAGACTCCTGAGCAACAAACTATCAATAACTATGACTACTTTTATTTTAAAAAAAAAAAAAACAACAACAACAAAGGCTAGGCACGGTGGCTCACACCTGTAATCCCAGCCCTTTGGGAGGACAAGGTGAGAAGACTGTCTTGAGCCCGCAGGTTCAGGACCTCATCACTATGATAAATCAAAACATTAGCCAGGCATGGTGGAGCGTGCCTGTAGTTCCAGCTACTTGCGAGGCTGAAGTGGAAGGATCGCCTGAACCCAGCAGATGGAGGCCGCGGTGGCGGGGAACGTGCTACTGCTCTCCAACCCAGTTGACAGAGTGAGACTCCAACTCCAAAGTTTCTTTAAAAAGAACCTTTTATGGTCACAGCAGGCCTTACCTTCTGATTATCTTATTTTTTATTTTATTTCTTTTCTTTTATTTACTTATTTTTTATCTTGAGTCCGAGTCTCACTCTGTCGCCCAGGCTAGAGGGCAGTTGGCATGCTCCTGGCCACCGCAGTCTCGACCTGCTGAGTTCAGGAGATCCTGCCCTCACCCTTTCTAGTAGCTAGAACTATAGGCACACGCCACCATGCCTGGCTCACTTTTTTAAAAAAAAATTATTTACTGTAGAGATGAGGTCTCCCCAGCTTACCCAGGCTGGTCTCAAACCTGAGGGCTCAGGCAATCCTCTCACCTCAGCCTCCCAAAGTGCTGGGATTATATTTGTGACCCACTGAGTCCGGCTGATTGTTTCATTATTTAAAAGTTTAGATGGCTATCATAATTGTAAGGATGAAGCACATCACCCAATACTCTTCTGGCATTTATTTCGCCTACTAAAAAGTAAATTTAGTTTTCTACCAAGATTTCCCATGATTTTTGATCACCATAAACAAAGGAAAAGGGTTGAATGTCTTTTTATAGTTAAATACTATGCTATGTAGACAGATAAGGGTTCTTCCGTCTAATTCACACAAAAATGTCTGGGAAGGGATATGATAGCATTCCATTTTACTAAACAGAAGACGGAAACGGAAAGAGAGTAGGAAACTTCTTTTTTTTTTTTTGAGTCGGAGTCTCACTCGGTCACCCAGACTGGAGGGCAGTGGCGGTTCCCAGCCACCGCAGCCTTGACCTGCTGGGCTCCGGCAATCCTTCCGCCTCAGCCTTCCAAGTAGTCAGAATTAAGGTATGCGCTACCATGCCCGGCTGATTTTTTTTTTTTATTTATTGTAGAGATGAGGTCTCGCCAACTTGCCCAGGCGGGCTCAGGCAATCCACTCACCTCAGCCTCCCAAGGCGCGGGATTACAGGCTGAGCCACCGAGCCCGGCTAGGAAACTTCTTCAAGGAACAGAACAGGGTACTAATATTGTTCAAATGAGTTTGAAAGAAGAGTTCCTGACTTCTACACGCCACATTAACCTTTTCTCCTGTGCCCACTCTCTTGTGACTCCATAAAGCACTGCCTTCTCATAGGTACTGCTCGGTATTTGGGAGAATCCCCCTCTTTTCCACCAATTGATGTTTCAATATTTTAAGTTTCACATCTGAATCACAGGCATTTTTCATTACTAGAACAAGGCAGATCTTGGTTGATGCAATTAGAATGGGTACAGGTAGGTTAAGGTAGTCAAATGAAGCAAGGGATTTAAAAAAAATGTATATACCTGAAGTTGCTTCCTAACTTCATATATAAACGGACCACTATCTACTAATCATATGATGCAGGGCCCCACTGAGGAAATTTCCTGTGATTCTTTTTTTTTTTTTTTAAGTTAGGGTTTCACTCTGTTGCCCAGGCTGGAGTACAGTGGCACGCTCATGGCAACTGCAGTCTTGATTTGCTGGGTTCAGACAATCCTCCCGCCTCAGCCTCCCAAGTAGCTGGGACTACAGACATGTGCCACCACGCCTGGCTAATTTTTGTTTTTTAACTGTAGAGAGAGGTCTCACCAAGTTGCTGAGAGAGGGCTCAGGCAATTCTCTCACCTCAGCCTCCCAAAGTGCTGGGATTATAGGCATGAGCCAGACACGCCTGGTCTCCTGTGATTCTTTCACATAAATCCTCTGTTAAATTTTCACCTGATCTTCCAGTTTGTTTTGTTAAACGAAAGTAAGGCTTTGAGGATACTTCAAAAGCAAAAGCAGAAATCTTAGGATTTCAGTAATTTTTTCCCATACAAACTTTTACTGTTTTACCCTGTTGGACAGTCCTTGTCCTAGAAGTAACACATCTTTCTTTCTTTTTTTTTTGAGTTGGAGTCTCACTCTGTGGCCCAGACTGGAGGGCAGTGGCCGCTCCCGGCCACCGCAGCCTTGACCTGCTGGACTCTGGAGATCCTTCCACCTCAGCCTTCCGAGTAGCCGGAATTACAGGCGCACGCTACCACACCCGGCTAATTTTTTGATTTATTGTAGAGATGAGGTCTCACCAGCCCAGGCGGGTCTCGAATGCACAGGCTCAGGCAATCCACTGACCTCAGCCTCCCAAAGGCGCGGGATTACAGGCTGAGCCACCAAGCCCGGCTGTGACACATCTTTCATACTTCCCATAGAAATTTGTGTTGCTGTATTTCACTATTTCCATATTTTAATAAGTCCAATGGGCATGAAGCGTAAATGCAGAACATATGCGCCGTTCTCCCTCCCCTGGAGATGACAGTTCCCTGATCGAGAGAAGGGCACTTGGCCAAGGCTGTCTGCCTGATCAAGACCTTGGAGATATGCACAGCTGCGTATCCAAGACAGTTGCTCCTGCTTCTTCACACGTAATGTGAAGAATGCACTGGCTATGTCTTGCTCCCTTTCCCACGCAGGGGGTATATATACCCCTTGGTCTACTGCAGTGTGGAGGGCTTTGTACCGACCAGCCGCCATCGGTTTCCTTCTATAAATATTAATAAACTCCTGTCTCTTACCAACCTGACCTCCAGATATTTCTTCAGAATCATGTGAGCACCCTGTATGACTTGGGACTGCCGTGACATGGGCACAAACAAAATTGTAAAAATACTGCAACTGTTGATGAACGTATAATTCAACTGGTAAGTACCAAGTACACCCAAGATGACTAGGAGGTGATACATCTCTACAACTTTGAGCACATTATTCAAGATATCTGATCTACTAAAGGAAGGTCCTCGAGGAAGGCTTCCAGCATGTAGATGTAAGTGATAATACATGGCAGGGCTAGTAATCCCACTGCTCCTAGTGTACAACATTTACATTCGTTTGTTGTTCTAGAGGACAATTTTTTTCTGAATCAGAGTCTCACTCTGTCGCTCAGGCTGGAGTGCAGTGGCACGATCACGGCCACCCCAGCGTCAACCTGCTGGACTCAACGATCATTGCACCTCAGCCTTCCAAGCAGCAAGAACTACAGGTGTGTGCCACTACGCCCGGATACTTTTTAAAACTTATTGTGGAGACGAGGTCTCGACATGTGGCCCGGGCTGGTCTCGAACCTGTGGGCTCAGGCAATCCACTCGCCTCGGCATCCCAAAGTGCTGGGACGACAGGCTGAGCCACTGAGCCCGGCTGAAGACAATTTTTATGATGCTTAGACTTGATCCAGGTTACAGTAAGCTTTAATTCAGCTTGACGAATACTGAGATGTGCATCTACTCTCCTTCTGGGAACAGACAGGCCTTAACTCATTTACATTTGAAATTTTATATGTACCTATGAATAGTTTTCAGGTTCTTTCCTCATAGAGTATGCACAACTAAAATTAGGATGACTGCAAAACTTGTTTTGTTAATGCTGTGAAAGGGTTAATTTTCACTTCTTTTTAAATTTTTATATATATAATAA